CGGCTTTGCTGCTTAAAACCACACCAACGCTTGCCAAACCAGCTGCAGTCGCTTCTGCGTCGCCAGAAAGGCGTAGGTAACGCGTGGCTCCATGCTTCGTTTTTGGAAACTCAACTTGAGAACAGTGCTCGGGTCTTGCAATCTAGTTTCCGGAAAGACAGCATATCACAGGGAGCGAGCGAGTCTAGAATGCGTGCTATACCGGGCCTGTTATCGAATCTACACGAGTGTTCAAAACATTGAACGTTGCCAGCCGAAATGGGGATCGCTGTCGAAGGATAGCCACAGGCCGGACTTTGTGGTTGACCTCGAGACTGGTGTAAGGATTAAATTGAGAGTAACACTGATTGATAACAGACATGGCTGGTGTGTGATGAAGATTGTGAGAGACAATGGCGCTAGGGACACGAGCGTGTGACGAAGCAATAGTGTGATCCACGGTTTCTGCAGCGGGCACGATGCTTCCCGGTTGCCCAAGCCGAATTAGTGAGTTGTCAGATGGGGCTCTATCCCGAGCCATTAGCCCGATATTCTACCCGCAAGGCGAATTCAGGGAATTGCGCCTATTGAGAGCCGGTGACAGATTTCTCCTTTATATGTCTTTCGTTTGGTAAGTCACCAAACAGGAGTCCAATTCTCTTTATAATTTCCGCACAAGGCTGTCGAAATACAATGCTCCACCGGAGCAGTATAGACGCTGTTTTCCGTCGCAACGAGACTGAACCTTGACGTGGTGCGACGGTTTGCGTACCTCCTTGACCCATTGAGCTCTACTGGCTGGTGCCTCCGGGCACCTTGAGAGCTACCCCTACCAGGTTGGTCATTGGTAAGAGATCAGACAAACTCAGTCTCCCGGTCATCCAGGTTGGGGGTTTGAAATGGGATGGCGTCCATTTCGGTAAAACTGAATCATTACCACCTCCCCGCTGCCTTGCGGACAGGCTTTTGAGCCAAAGGCTTTGATTGAGGACCCTAATCGTTCTCCTGTCTAGGTCTGGGCGCCCTGGCAGTATCAGCCCACATACAACCATGACATATTCTTCAAACAAACTTCATCCTGCATCGACCGTCGCGCAACTTCATAAGCGTCGCCTTAGCTGCTGCATACAGCAGGGCGGATCAGCGAAAACACGCCACTGCCGGCGCCTCCCATTTTCCTTTTCCACCTGTTTCTCTTACTCCCATCCCGACCTCCATTACTAATCTTCCTTCTATAATTCCCAGCATAATTGACAGCAAACTAAGTGCCACTGGAGTAGAACCATCTGCAGCCACCTACTCGCGATACGCACCGGACTCCTATCGGCAAAACTCCCTCATAGGGATACGCTGTGCCGTTTCAATAGCGACTTTCAACGTTCGCACTCTAAGACAAACAGGTCAACAGGTTGCACTCGCACGCACCTTGGACACACTGGGTATTGATGGGTATTGTGTGTCCGAAATTAGGATCAATGTCCCCAATGAGGTTGTTGAATTAACTGCACCCGGCTTATTCTCTCGTTATTGCTTGCACGCATCCGGAGACGCCGATGCGGCACTCACGGGTCAAGCTGGTGTAGGTATCATTCTAAGCTCAATGACTGATCCATTGTTGGTTGATTAGATTCCGGTCAACAACCATTTATGTGCAGCCCGTTTGACGACATCAGCTAAGGTTGATTCACGAAGTAGTACAAAACGCTGTTTGTTCTTGATTTCCGCTTATGCTCCCACCGACTGCAGTTCAAATGCTGTCAAGGACACATTCTACCACGAACTGAACACGCTATTAAGCAGTGCTACCAGTTCAGATATCGTAATATTTGCAGGGGATATGAACGCATAAGTAGGGCGTCTGAGCTCTTCAGAAGCTCATCTGGGTGGTAATTATGGGC